CATCTTGTGTTATGCTTAAGAAGTATGCCCAGGAAACTTCATATATATTTTTAGTTGAATTTTCAATGCATGCTTATCCCTGGGTTAATAAGTTCGAGTGAATTATCTGCAGTTTGTAATTTGTATTTAGAGTGAGTGATATATCATGAGATTAATTCATGTTTTTTGTGAGTCACATCACATGAACTAAACGATATGATTTACCATTTTGTTGATACTTTAATGAATCGAGTTCATAACATTGAAATTTAATTATTGCATGTGTTTAATTTATATTGTTAATATATAATTTGTTCTTGTCATTCTATTTAGGTTGGATGTCCTGCTAGTTATATTCTGCGTATCTAGCATACCTATTCTGGTCCCATTGTAAACTGATCATCTGATCATTTGGACCATGGGACTTAATAATATATAGGAGTACTTGCATCGAATATTAGGATTGGTAAATGTGATATTTAATAAACTTATGACTACATTTGATGAAGTTAGTCATCAAATTGATTCTTTTGATGGAGCCAATTTGTAAAAAAAAAAAAAACTCTTATGGTATATATTTTTTATTAGCAACTTTAATCCCTCTTATTATAATGGATATAGTACTTGAGTCTTAGTTGATAAGTATATCACACAGTATAGCAAAGCTCAAAGTCTTTAATCTACTATAATTTACTTTATGATATTGTTGTTGAGGGAACTATTAATTTCACCAATTTAGTTAATCCACCACTTTTTTTTTGTCAACTCAGATCTTTCGTCCGTCAAATATCTAAGTCTCATAGGATGCCACATTTAATGGATCTCTCAAATTCCTTGTAAAAGAGATTGGTCATATTAAGGTTATAACAAACCATAAGCTCCTCCTTTCTAACGATTATCTAGGGGAAGATTCTCCTTTGCAAGATGATTTCATAATTTAACTTATACTTAATTTTAAACTTAAGCCTAAGGATGAACCTCATTGTGCACTTGTGCCAACACCAGAGCTCACGTGTGCTCTTTCTAGTGATTCTGAACTAAACTCCAAATATGAGCTGAAATTTGCTAAGCGTGGTAGTTTACCTGTCCCTTCTCTTTTTCTTGCTCTTGAGAAATTATTTGTTAAGATTTTCATATCCATGATCATCAATTTAGGTTTTGTTTGGGATGGCTTTCTTACTGCTTCTTAAAATAGCTTTTTAGTACAAATATTAAAATTTTTGTACTAAAAAGCTGCTATAAGAAGCAGTAAAAAAGCTGTCCCAAATGAAGTCTTAGTGGTTATGTATTTGATTCTATGTTATCATATATATGAATGTATAGGAAGAATCATTTGAAGAATGTTGAATTACAATTGCATATTTATCATTTTTTTATGACTTACTATACTGAAATCTAAATCTAAAGTTGATTTTGACATCATAGACGTATGAATTATATTATTTAATAATGACTCGCACCTTTCTAAAATGCTTATTCTTATCAAGAGAGCTAGTTATTATTGTTGGAAAGTTCCTGGGATTTTCTTAGATGCTTACGATTGGTTTCTCACTTTTTATTCCAATGAAGTTGTTTGTCATATTTCCCCTAACAAGTTTATATGTCTTAATTAAACTTGCAGGGAACTTATTTTGATTTTGCTGCATTATTTGTAGTCCATTTGGATCAGTTTTTTGTTGGCATTGAAAAATTAACAACCATTCACACTGAAAATTTTGATCTTGTAGCATATGCTAACATCAATATGCAGGAGTAATAGTGATTAAAATTATGTTTTAGTTTATTTCTATTTTGTATGCATTCCGCATTTTACCGGTAACGTATTACCTAATATAATCTTAAAGCCTCATTATGTTCTTAAAAAGCTAGTACTTATTGTGTTTTTACATTCTTTTCCTTTCAACGGCAACGTTCATCATATTTTCTATGTTGAGAATCTTTTACCTTGTAGAGATCTTTCAAACCTCCATAGTTTTCAATTAGTATCTCTGCAATACCTTTCTATTGATATGCTATCTTCAACATAATTCTCTTGAAGATATTTTTTTTGTATGACAGGAGAATTTACGCATATTGTTTGAGAAGGTGCATGTGGATTGTTTATGATGTGATTGACTATCATTGAGTGTATCTGTTTATGTTCTCAAAGATTATTTGAATACATTTTCTTTAAATTGTTAAAACTGATATTAATTAGGATCATATTCATAGTTATCTCGAGATCCTTTTATTCTATAATAGAGGACCCTAGGGCTTATTTCTACTGAATGAAGATGATGCAGGACTACGTAAATGAAATGCTCTTAGTTCATTTGGATTTCGCACAACTTGTGATTAGAATAATTTTAGAGCAAAACTACTAGCAATTTAAAACAATGAATCAAAACAAATAGTGGTTACATCCGCTTAGGTTAAATCACATGACAAGAGTTTTGAATACTTCCAAAATAAATAGAAAACAATACAACGATGAGTAGTAGTTTTCAACGTAATCCCTAGTCTAACAATGAGAATTAGAAAACATAGAGGTGCACTCAAATCCTACGTTTACTAAGCTTTAGCATGAGCAATGAAGAGGGGATCCGTCGTGACTGCAATCAAACCAAGAGAAGTTAGACTAAAAGAGATAAGATGCAAGGAGGAAGAGAAACCTTCATCAAGAAGTGGTGGAGATCCTCCGCTCGACGCCTTCGAAGTGTGTTCGTTAATAGCTTCCACTAAGGTATCTAGAATTCGCTCCAAGTAGTCTTCGACGGTGTGGTCAATCCTTGGGTTCACGTTGAAGAAGGTTGATCGTAGGATGTCGGTGAAGTCATCTTCGTCCCAAGTTATGCCGTATTCAGTTGCCGGATCCGCCATTCATGGATGATTGAATGTAAAATCTCCCTAGCACTTGATAGGACTCTTGAATGCTAGCAAGGAGAAAGAAGTCTCTCTTGCAAGGAGAGAGGAAGCAAGCCCCCAAATACTATTCCAAAAATCTGAAAATAGTTTCAGATTTTTATTCAAAACCTGAGAGGAATTTCAGATTTCAGTGATTAGTAGAAAAGGGTTTGGAGGGGGAACATATGACTTCAAGTTCTAGTGGAGAATTATTGAATGAGAGGTGGTGGGAAGAAAGAGTGGGGAAGAGGTTTTGGAGAGGAGGAAGAGGACTTGATTTGTTTCCAAAACAAGGGGTTTCCTTTGGAATAAATCAAATAGAAAAAGGTATGAGGGGATTTCGGCTAGAGGGGATTTAAAGTGACTTGGACTTATTGCAAAAGATAGGATTCTGGAATTAGGAAATAAATTCCAATTCAAGTCCAGGGGGCCGGCGGCATTAATGGAAGAGGGTTGGAATTTGGAGACCCATTAATGTGGATTGATTTGGAAAGGATATTTTAAATCCTATTTGAAATTTTAATTCAAAGATGATTCAATTAGGAAACTTCCCAAAAATAGGATTTGTAAATTAGGAAACAATTCAAATTCAAATTAAATTTGAATTGGAATTAAATGAGTTTCCTAACCTATGGGGACCCAAATGGAAAGTCTAGTCACAAGCAAAAACAAAGGGGGAGAGCACAAGCTGGACGACTGCTAAGGAGGTTGTCGCCGGTTTTGGGGTGTGGTGGGGGGAATCAGATGGGTACAGGAGAAAGGGGTCGGGTGGTGGTTGGAGAGGGAATTGGCCGTGGGGTTGTGAGGGGCAAGGGGATGATGGATGAAAGGGGAGATGGGGTAGAGTGCCAAGAGCCACCGGTGGTGACTGTTGGGTACGACGGGTGGCCTCTCCTAGGCTCCACCAAGCTCTCTAGCTTTCTCTCTCTCAAGCTCTCTCATAAGCTCCAAGAAAATAAGTGCAGGAAAATTTTCTCAAAATCATTCATTAATCAAAAACAATAAGCAAGGGGCTATATATAGCCAAATACAATGGACTCAAAAAGAAAAGACCAACTTGCCCTTTGGGCTCACATACGACAATTCCCCTTAAAAGGGTACAAACGGAACAACATAATGACACCAAGGAAAATAGAAAATACATAAATAATAAAATGCATAAATGACTCAGAAATACAAAGACTCAATCGTGGCCGTAGATCGGCGACCACGCCTCTGATAAACCTTCCACTAGCTGATGTCTCCATCAGAAGAGCTTGATTTGAACTGGCTCCAACTTCTTATTCCTCTCTCTCTCTCTCTCTCTCTCTCTCTCTCTCTCTCTCTCTCTCTCTCTCTCATGTCTGCTTTTGCAGATTCCCTCACTCAAAATATTCTCTTTTGAACTCCCTTTATCTCCCATCATTCCTTCTCTCTCTCAATATGTTTCCTCTTTTTTGATCTCTCTCTCTCTCTCTCAATAATTGCTCTTCTCTTCTTCCTCTTAATTTCCTCTGCTCATATTTTTTTTCACACCAAATCCATTAACCTAATATTGAAAAATAAATAAATAAATAAGATCTTAATGGACTGGCCTTCTCCTTTACAGTGGGAAAACTGTCCTTTGCAACCTGGCCACAACCTAGAAACAACACGAAATCCCATTGTCAACGCCATTCAGATTCTTTTTGCACGCTGCGTCACCGAATTAGTTTATTTCTCATAGATCTGACCTGCTCTCTAAAATCATTATCCATGGCCTTCACAAAATAATTAATCAAGGCTGCATTTAGTTTTATGTTATGTTTGATTGATTATATTGACACAAGGAATGAATGTCAAGAAGATTTAGAATTCGTTTGGGATGGCTTTCTTAATGCTTCTTAAAGCAACTTTCTAGCACAAATTTTTTTTAATTTTGTGCTAGAAAGCTACTTTAAGAAGCAGTAAGAAAATCGTCCCAAACGAAACCTTAATAAAGCCATTCCGAAATAAAACAATGCTAAAAACGATGATGATCATAATGCTCCTATATCGTATTGATGCATTTAATGTACTATTACAGTCTTCTGTAATTCTTCCTTTAATATATACTATGTCAGTTTTTTGTTAGTCTACTTATATATTTGTAATTTTGATTTCTCTTTTTATTGCTTTAGGACGTCAATTTCATGCCCATCCTTCAGTTAATCTCAAAAACTTCATTAGGACCTGCTGCCACTTATGCAATAGATCATTCTCAGATTCAATCAATAGCACCGTTAAAATTAGGGGTAGTGCCGTTAAAGAATTCATCCTTGGGATCTTCTTCCTCTTGTTCTTACCCAAAAGGTCACTCTGGTTGGTCTTTGCGGCTTGACATTGACAAGCCATCATCTAAGATCAACTATTCTCTTTCGATGAAAGATGCATCTTTTCAACGGTTGAAAAAGTTGAATACCTCAAGAGAGAAAAGTCTAGAATATATTTCACATGATCTAAACGGGAAGCTGCAGACAGAAGTTTATAGTGGTTCTGGTCTTGTTAAAATCTCAGTGGGCGTGTGTGGTAAAGAGTTAGAAAGAAGGCGAAAAATTGGACTAGCAAACAAGGGTAGAACTCCATGGAACAAGGGGATAAAGCACAGTGAAGGTATGGATATTGAATCTTATGGCAATCTAAGACTTTGTTTGGGACGATTTTCTTACTACTTCTTAAAACGGCTTTCTAGTTAAACATTTTTAATTTTTGTACTAAAAAGTCGCTTTAAGAAGCAGAAAGAAAGCCATCCAAAACGAAACCTAAAATGCAACCAATACTGATATTTTTTTTTCGCACGCTGCCATTTCTTATAAAATCCAGAAACTCGAATGCGTATTAAGAAGAGAACCATAGAGGCGTTAAAAGATCCAAAGGTGATGTCATGTAAATCAATTTTATGATTTTTCCTCATAGGTGTGGCAGATTTAAATTTTCCAATTGCAGTTTTTATGATTTCTTATTAGATAATCTTAGCTGTGTTTATCCTTCTTATATCAGGTTAGGAAAAAGATGTCTGAAAGGCCTCATTCTCATAGGTGCGCTTATCTTGCTCCCAAGAAATTGATTTTTAGCGGTAACAGACTTAGACTTCGTTTGGGACGGCTTTCTTATTATTTCTTAAAGCAACTTTTTCGTTATAAAATTTTAATTTTTTAACTAAAAAGCTGCTTTAAAAAGCAATAAGAAAGCCGTCCCAAATGAAGCCTTAATGTAATTAATCGTATCTAATTCAAATTGGTTATTTCAGTGATCAAAGCAAAGCAAGGATAAGTTTTAGTCTGAGAAGGTTTTGGCATGAGTCCTTGAAACATAAAAGGTTGCAAGAGAAACTCTATTTTTCATGGGCAAGATACATTGCAGAAGCAGCAAAACGAGGCGGTGATGACCAAAGAGAACTTGGTTGGGATAGTTTCCAGAAAATAAAGGCGGACATAAATTTCCAATATCTTCAGGAGAGAGAAGAGAAGGCATTAGCCAGGGAAACTGCAAAATTAATAGCAGAAAAGGTTGCAAGGGACAGGGCAGCAAATAATGCTCAAAAAAGGAAAAAGAAAGAAGAACAGGCCAAAACAAAGTCTTTGCTACGGCAAAACTTGTTAAATAGGAAAAAGAAGAATGATTTGGCTAGGGATTTAAAGCTCATCGAGAGATTGGCAAAGGTAAAATTACTCATTTACTCTCTTTTTTTTTCCTTGTCATACATGTGTTCTTTAACTTCGTATCATGGCTTGGGATGAGTTATATATTAAAATTTAGGGGCTGTTTGGTAGCACCCAGGATTTGATTTAAGTAGAATTTTGTAAATCCTCTAACTCTGAATTTCGGAAATCCTGAAAACTGTTTGGTAACTTTCATGATAAATCCTATTAAATCCTGTGTGACTATTTGGCTATAGAGCGAATTTAACTAGCGGACTCTTCCTCTTGAGCTAATGGATTTCGTAAATCCGGCAAAAAACAGGATTTAAGAAATCTGGGATTTAGCACGAAAAGGTAAAATTTTCCCATCTACGGCAGCTTTCATTTGACGTGATTTTGCATTTTAGCCCGTTTGGTTGGATTTCGCTCAAATCCGGCCTAAATCCTGCTACCAAACAGCCCCTTAACATTACACGACTCTTCTTAATCTATTGGTTGGGAGCTTGTGATACAACCAAGAGATCTTGAGTTCGAATGTTTATTTGGGTGAGTTTACCTTAATTGACCTAAATATCCCCGAAAAAAAAAAATAACATTAAATTTGTAGACAATGAGGAAAGAGATTCTATTTTTGGCTTTGTTTACTTCAAGTATTGATAACAAAGATCCCGTTGTTAATTTTATCAATTTAGATACCTAATGTTGTATCTGTGGAGTACTTTCTATTATAGTTTGTGCATTTTAAGCTAATATATTTGCATTTTAATCTAAAGTGGCCTTTTTACATTAACGGTATTCATGGCTGAAGATCCAATATAGCAAGAGGCGGTTGAATATTCCTGTTAGCAGACGAAGAGCAAGTTCAGTTGGGTCTCAACCATCTGTGGAGAATTTGGACTTAGAATTCATCAAGGAAGAGAAATTGCAAAGAAGTAATTCACTTGCAGATCAACTTCAAACGCTGAAGGGCAAAAAGTTTGAGGTTTGTGTGCAGCTGTTGTGAAGGCTACTGCTCTGTATTTTAGTTTAGGTGAATAAACTTATTCCTGTAGGGTGTACTTACTTTTTTGAGACTTACATCTTAAATATTAGATGTTAGTGATTGGCATGCTAGCTCCAATTCATGAAAAATTATTACGTGCGGGTCCGGATTCGTCCGGAGACCAACAAAATGTGTCACGTCACCTCAAAAAAATGCACCGTGCTCGGCACCAAGCGCTCGGTATTTAGAATTTTGGATGAATTAAATATCATATATGCACATCATATATATAAACATTGAATTTAAAATCTCTTAGATTGAAAGTCTAAGCATACAAATAACATATTATGATTTCGTTTGAGATTTCTTGATGCTTTTTAAAGTGTTTTTTTAGTATAAAAATTTCTTCAGTTTGAAATTTTTTATTAAAAAGTTGCTTTAGAAAGCAGTATGAAAACTGTCCAAAAAAATTTTGTGATGTGCTAGGGTGTAAACTAGTTGAGTAGTGGTCTTAATGAGCTTGGCTTGCCTGTATGGTAGTTGGCTTGGCTTGAGTTCGTCGCATTGCAAATGGCCCGTCGAGCGGCTCGTGAGCCCACAGTCGCGGTCGGCCTGTTCTTCATTTGGAATTATCGTCCTGATGCCCTCATCCAATCATTAGAAATTGCTGCCTAGCAATCGCATTCGCCATTCAAATTTGCCACTTCATTTTTTCGCAATTCCCGCCCGATGCTTGCATTTCATTGTCCAGATTTGCTGCCCAGCACACACGTTTGGTCATTTTAGGATTTAATTTTTTTAATTTAAACAATCATTCAAGCTTGGCTCGTGAGCTTGCAGGTCGAGCTTAATCAAGCTCGTTATCGAGTCAAGTTTGAGCTAACTTGGCTCACTTACACCCCTAAGATGTGCTAACAATAATAATTATTTTTGTTGATTCTAGTTTTGAAAAAAGAAAAAATTTATTGGTGTTAAATTTCATAACTTTTAGATGAAAGCATCAAGTGTCCATTTGGTGGTTTGAAATTAGATACCATGTTTTGAAAATAATAATTTTTTTTTAAAATTTAATATTTGATTCTATGTACTTAATCCCTAACATTGATTTTAATTTTATTATACTTTATAAAAAATTAATAATATTTTTCACTTTTCCAACAGCCTAGGGTTTTTGATGCTCTAGTGGTTTGCATAAGTTCTTACCAAATAATGTTATTTAATTCTTTTAAGCTTTATATTTAACGTTCAAAGATAATGATATTGTTTAATGAGATTTAGCTTGTAAAAATGAGAGCGTTGAAGTCCATATAAAAATTAGTTTTAATTAGGAATCATATAACTCTCTTAGATTTGATAAATAATCAATTACTTTATGTTATCACTGGTTAAAACAACTATTAATCCAAAGCATAGATTGGTCATTTAGTAATTAGCATTATTTTTTGTCAATCTTTTTTAATTATCTAAAACTTAAACTATATAATTTTCAAGAAAATTCGTTTAATTTTTTTAAATTCATTTTGTGAATAATAAAGTGATTAATTATTAATAATTATTGATTTGGATTTCATTTGAGACAATTTTTTATTGATTTATAAAATAATTTTTAATAAACATTTTTTATTTCAATTTTTAAGCTATAAATTTACTTTTAAAAATAGTAAAAAAAAGCTGTTAAAAAAATCTTACTTGAATGTCATTTGACTTTTGAGTAGAGATAAAAATGTGAATAAAAATGGATTTTTTTTTTAAATGTGAATGAAGAGGGATGAAAAATATAATTGAGAGATTTAGGGGCTTTTTGGTATGCGGATTTAGCCGGATTTAAGGCCGGATTTGGGCGAAATCCAGCCAAACGGCCTAAAATGCAAATCCAAATCTCACGGTAGTTGGAATCCGCGGTTGACGGAAAAAGAGCACTTCTTGTGGTAAATCCCGGATTTCGCAAATCCACCGATTCGGCGGATTTAACTGGTTATTCGCGGGAGAGGAAGCAGATTTAACTAGCTATTCACGGGAGAGGAAGAAGACAGAAGAAAGCCCAAACGATTCCAGCTGTTTTCTTATCTCTTCACTCGCTCCTCTTCAGAACACTCACGCATCATGGTCGCCCATACGCCCTCGTCTCTACCTCTCGCTATTTTAAGCCCACTGTTCAGTTGTTTGCATTCGCACATCTAGCAGAAGCAGTCTCCTGTAGAGGAAACCAGCGGCTTGAATCGGCAGTAGGTATGATTCCTTTATCTCATATCTAATTTTTTGTTAGTATATCCACGATTTAGGCTAATATTTGTCCAAAATTTCCCCCTATTTGCATGTTGTCCGTTTTTTCGCCATTTCATGATTATCGGCAGCTGTTCGAACAGGCTTATATTGTTTATGTTGTGATATTTCATTTGCTAGAGTGGTGTGATAGTACGATATTGTGTTAGTAACATGACACCTGAAGAAGATGTGGACAGTAGTGGAACTTACCCAGAAACAAATTGTAAACAATCATCTTTACTTCATGATCATATTAGTTTTGCACTGGATAAATCGAGTTGGTTGACAACGAATCCTCAAACATGAATTACCTAGCTTCCACTCGGAACAAAAACAGTAAAATTCACTTCCCAAATGGTAATCATGCTCATTAGAAATAGTTGTTAAATAGTCTCTATGGATACTATTAAAATGTATTATTTGAAATTTGTACATAAAAAATGAAACGTTTTTTGAAAGGCAAAGCAGCTCAACGTTCATCGACCAAAACTCAAGCGGACATTATGGATGATTTAGATGTGAAGTTGGGGAATAGTAATAAAAATATTTTGAGGACACCTAGATGGCCAGATCAGCATAATGAAGTCTTCGGAGAGTTGTTGTTCGAGCAGTACTTGTGTGGTAATATTAATGATGGCATATTGCGGAGGGACATGTGGAAGGATTTGGTCGGTATACTAAATCGTCGAGTTGAAGGAAACTACACTGAAAACAGTGCACAGATTAGGTTCAAAAATATGAAAGCTGATTTTCGTGCTGTTTTCCAACTAGCTAATCGAAGTGGCTGGGGTTGGGATGAAAATCTTCATTTGCCAATAGCCAGTGATGAAATATGGGATGAGATAATCCAGGTATATTTGTTTAATATAATTTCATAATCCATTTTTAACAAATCAAATTCATGTCATTTTTTATTTTACTATTTTTTTCACTAGGAGAATCCAAAGCTGGCAAAGTATCGTCGTAATCAATTCCACCAATACGAAATTTTTGAGAAAATATGTGGAGATAATAATGCTGTGGGAACTTTTGCAAGGTCATCCCGACGAACAAATAAATCAATAGAAGAAGTTGTGACAGGATGAGACGTGGAGGAGGATGTCTTCTTGTCCGGTAACGGAATTAGTTTTGTACCAACAGATTTACAAAGCAACCAAAATCCTGAGGGGGAAAACACAGAAGAACCCCAAACTATTCCAATGAGTCGTAGCAAGCGTTCAAGTGATGATGATATTCGCAAAAGTAGGCGCCCCAGGAGAAGAGCTGAAAAAGAAAAGTTAACCAGTGTACTAGACAAGCATTGCGTTAAAACTGATCAGATAATTGAGAAGATTGATAAAATATGTCCGTACACAATATCACAATGTCTTGCAAAACTTGGTAGTATAGAAAACATTTCCATGGAAGCTATCATAGCAATTCATGAAGCATTGATAGAATGTAACGACCACAAGATTGCATTTATGACTTGGGATGGGCCATTACTCTGTGGGTGGATTGAATACATTCTTCATAACCATCCAAAATTTCCGGGATGCTCAGCTTGGTTACCAAAGTGATGCCATACAATTGGGTTTCTCTTTAGGGTGTTGTATTTTAGTTTTAGCCTTCACGTACTTGTTGTTTAACCAGTTTTAGCCTTCACGTACTTGTATTTGCTTATGATGTATTTCTTCTTCTAAGTAGATGAATATGTGTACTTGTTTTGCTAGATTGAGAAATTTATTTTTGGTCTAAGATATTTTTGTTCTAATATGATGTATTGATGTTTAAAAAGGATCATCGTCTGTGCTACTGTGTACTTGGTTTTTTCATTTGATTTATAAATGTACATGGAATCTGAAAGTTTATGACCGTGCATAAATAGTTTAAGCTCAACATGATGAAATCTGCATTGATGAATGTACCAATACTCTATAAACTTGTTTTTTTTTCAAATTTTTTGAAATATGCATTGATTTACTCTATGTTAAATCTTTTAACCGCCTTAAATCCTGAATTGAACAGCCAAACAGTCACACAGGATTTAACTGGACTGATCATGAATGTTATGTTACCAAATAGTTTTCAGGATTTAACCCCCCAGATTTTCGTAAATCCGGATTAGGAGGATTTACGAAATCCTACTTAAATGAAATCATAGATTCTACCAAACAGCCCCTTAGGATTTAGGGAGAAGTCGAAATCCCCTCCATTAGCATTGTAATGGTCGGTGCAAGCACTCCATCCAATTATTTCATCTTCTTTTGGACGGCGGATATCAGTCTAAAATAAGATCTAAAATTTTCGTTGATTTGATCCTAAACGTCAAAAACATGCAGAATCTAACCATGAACCATTTCCCTACATCCCCGTACGAACAAATCATCTGAGCGAGCCACAGCCGTCGGCTGGCGACCATGCGGCTGTGATTGGTTGTCTTTGTAATTTATTTTTGCTCTGCTCTGTAATTGCTTGACACCCCATAGCTATGGATATTAAAGCCAAAGCACGGGCTCCAGGCTCTTCCTCGCTCTCACGGTTCATTTACTTATTCACCCATGGCGGCGGCTGCTTCTTTCACCTCATCAGTGGCTTCTCGCTCACATGTAAGGTCTCTGAAGGCCACCCCTAAAGTTCTAGCTTCGAGCCTGGGCTTCTCTTCGTCTATCGACGTATCATCGAGAATGGCGAGGCATCTCCTCTCTGGGGTTTGCGATGTTGCGGCTGCAACTGGGGGGCGCGGTGGAGGCGCCGTCCTTGGTGCCCGAATGGTCGCGGCCCCGACTATCAGCAACCCTGCTCCCTCTCTGGACTTCGATACCTCGGTTTTCAAGAAAGAGAAGGTTAACCTCGCTGGCCATGAAGAGGTCTGCACGGCTTGCCCTTCCTTTTACCCGCCTTTGCTTCGATGTTCTCTTATTTTTTTCTCAAAATTCTCTCTGCTTCAGTTCATTGTTAGAGGCGGCAGGGATCTGTTCGGGTTATTGCCGGAGGCGTTCAAGGGAATTAAACAGATCGGTGTCGTAGGTTGGGGTTCGCAGGTTTAGATCCATTTCTCCATCATTCTTTTTTAATTTAAAGTGTTCCAGATTTGGTTATTCATCTGTTAAGTGTTAACCTATAATTTTATTTGATGCAATGTTTCTGTTGCCAGCATTCCTGAAATTAGAATTTTAATCAATCGTTACTAGGACGGATAACAAAGCCCGAAGCTTGAAATTTGTTTGATAATTGTTCAAACTTTGATCGGGTTGAATTTACATTTACTTTTGCTCGAAAATGGTTGAAATTTTAAATTGAATCCATTCAACTCAAAATAACTAGATATATACGTCATAAGGGTGTCTGGATGCACATATATTGATACATACATATGTATATAAATATAAAATCTATATTGAGCGCGTCTGTCTATATTTTAATATAAATCTATTTATTCATATTATAGATTTTTTTAATTCAATCTTTTAATTTATCTGGTTTGGCTAGAATGAGCTTGAAATTTGAATTTTTTTTACTAAATTAAAGCTTGGATTGAACCAAAATTGAAATTTTTACTAAGATAGGCTTGCTTGAAATTAAATCGATGGCACCCCTAATATTTATTGCAAATATAATGGAAATTTTGTAATTAATTGAACATTGGGTTAACTGGAAAGGATTTAATGGCATTTTGCTTTCAAATTTTAGAGGCATTGGGGTCTGTTGAGTGTAGTTTTTAAGGACATGAAGCTATCAGAGGTCCATTAATAGTCATAGAAGATTATAAGTTACCAAAACTTTACAAATGTGGTTTTGAGATTTCTTGTTAAGAAAATTGGAGATAAAAATGATGATATTACTAGGATTGAAGATGGATGTTTAAAAGAACTAGGGGCTGCTAGATTGTTTTATAATCATAAAGTTCTGTAAAGGATAAAGGATGATTTATGGAAAAGGTAATAAGCCAAAGTTATGTTCCATGCATTTGGCAATAAAGAAGGTTCAAATGAGCAAGTTGATTTTTTGTGGCTGAAATTGGCAAAACTTAAATATTAAAAGGATGTGGCATATAGTGATTGCATTAGAGAATGTATGTGTAGATTATATATTAAGAATAAGCTCGCATAAATTGGTTTTTGATGATATGCTTTTATTCTAGAAAGAGCGTGGCAGCAAAAATAAGTTAGCAAGTTAGAATTCACGTGAAAGGTGGGAAAGAGAAAAAAGCTGCACACATGCAATATATAGATAAAATAGTTTTGTGATGGCATACTTGAAGGTAAGAAAGTAAGTTTAAGGATTGTTTTAAAATTGGTTGAGCATGTGGCGCATGGAATTGTTGTGAAGAGATTGATCCTTTGTGTGAAGCTGAAAGTGACATAGATAGGCATTAAAGTTATTTGTAGGAGTAGAGATTTGTGTAAGATATGTGAGAGTTAAATTATAGGATGTTATAAAAAGAGGCACCAGAAGCTAAAATCCAAGAATGCCAAATTTTATTCATGGAGGTTGAATTATTAATAGGAGAATATCATAATAGCTTTTACCATTTGAAAAATCAGTTGCTATGGAAAGATTTTCTAGTGTTACTAATCCCAATACTCTGGATCATCTAAAACAACTTAGATGATGAAAGAGTAATAGAAAATGATATGATTGGAGAGTTATGTAAATTATTCCGAGCTTTTGGAGTAGCAGCTACAATTCATACCTCAAAAAGGCCCTTTTGAGTAATTAATTTCTTTTTCTTTCAATACTATAGAACAGAAGAGCTATGAGGAAGGTTACCTTAGAGTGATCCAAACTTAACTCTCAATCGCATTCGTAATAGAAATAATTTATTTTGATTTTTATCAATTTATGGTTTTTTATTACATGGGCATATGTAACAATTGTTGAAGGTTCCTACATAGTTGGTAATTGTTACCAAAGATTTATAAGTGCATGCATGAATATCCTGAATTGATCTTTTGCTTGATGTGCAATGGAGAGTTCTTTACAATCTTCATAAAATTGTACATGGATTGATTGTTGATATATACCTTGAAGATGCGATCATATTACACTCATTTAGATCCAAGGCATAAGCCACGAGCTTTATATTTATTGTTTACCAACTATTATCTTTGGTTACCCCATTCAACTTCAAATCAAGCTTATATAGTTGATCACATGACAAGTACCAATCTCTATCTAGTTGATGATTGATCAAGTGCGCGTTTGAAAGCAAAAACAGTCATGCAATGAGATTAACATGGGGAGATCGTTGATGTAGAATGACAACACTAATTTAGATTTAATTGATGTCAGTGGGTTTGTGAGTAGGCAGATAGAGATAAGATGAGGTTGGCATTTGTTGCTTTTATAACATCATCATTAAGAATAATTTTCATCTTCCCTTCGTTCACATTGATTTTTCACTATTATGTTAAACTTGCCATTTACAAATCAATGTGAATAACTTATATTCATGCAATCTTAAATCTACCCGTTCTCATCCCTAATCATTTTACACTAAGTTTATCTACTCATCTAAATGATAAATTTTCTATCATTCATTGTATATATCCAAATCATCTAAGTCTATATTCAATTATCTTATCTTCAATAGATGTCATGCCAATCAGTACTTTATTTATCCATCTTAATATTGCGATACATTAATTTTAATATTCTCGCATCTGCTACTCTCAACTTAAATTTCAACTTTCTTACCACTCAACATTTAGATTTGTACAACATTGCTAGCATAATTGCAATTTTTAGAAATCTTACTTTTAGTTATGCATGCATCTTTTTATCATTTAGTATTATTGATGCTCTTTTCCTTTTTAACCATCCAACCTTAACACTAAATATTATATCATCATTAATAGCTCCATTCTTTGGACTAGTAGATCTAATGAACTTTACCTTATAAAATTGTATATCATTTACTAAGTATTTGATCAACTAATTCTAAGTCCTTTACTTCCAAATATTATCCAATGTTCTATTTTTTCTTATCAATTAGAATTATATCTTCTGCAAAAATCATACACCATGTCTTATTACTTTGAGTATCCTTTGTAGGCATCTTCATAATTATTACAAAAAAATATAGATTCAAAGTTGATTTTTGATATAAACATACCTTAATGGGAAACTCTTGAGTTGTTTTATGATGACTTGTAATACTAGTCATACATATCTTTAATGTCATATATATTCCATTGAGACACATAACCATGACACTGTCATAAGCATTCTGAAGATCAATACAAATTATAAGAATTTTTCTTTTTTGTTTCTATATTTTATCGGTGTATTAGTAAAACCGAAGTTAGAGAGACTTTAAAGAAAATTAAGTGTGAAAAAGTTGTTAGACCTGATGATATTCCAATAAAGATGTTGAAATGCTTAGGAGATGAAGGAATTTCTTGGCTTATGGAACTTTTCAATATTATTTGGAAATTTAAAAAGATGTCGGATGAGTGGAGGAGTGTGTTGATTCCTATTTTTAAGAATAAAGGTTATGCACAAGTTTGTTTGAATTATAGAGGAATTAAATTAATGTATCATTCTTTAAAACTATGAGAGAGAGATATTGAACATAGGTTATGACTTGATACCAATGTTTCTCAAATTCAATTTGGATGCTTGTTGGGTTGGTCTCCTATGGAAGCTATGCATTTATTGAGGTTTGATGGAGAAGTATAGAGACTATGAGGATCCATATATGATATTTATTGATTAAGAGAAAGCTTATAATAAAATTCCAAGATAAGTGCTATGGAAAGTTTAAGAAAAGAAAAGCGTTAGTAAAGATTATACTCAAGTCATTAAGGATATGTATGCAAGAGTTGTTACTTGTGTTCAAACACAAGGTGTTTTGACCAAGTATTTTCCTATTTCAGTTGGATTACATCAAGGATCAGCTTTAAGCCTATATCTTTTTGCTTTAGTCATGGATGTTCTTACTAGAAATTTGCAAGAGGATCTACCTTGGTGTATGTTTTTTACTTATGACATTCTTCTTGTTGATAAGATTAGAGAGGGAGTTGACAGTAAACTTGAATTATGGAGATCAACGTTAGAGTCTAAAGATTTTCATTTGAGTAGATTTAAAACTGAATACATGAAGTGTAATTAGTAGTAGTAGATATAGTTGGGGGATTATGACTTTTTGCGATCAAATCATTAATAAGAGTACACATTTTAAATATCTCGGGTCTATTGTCCAGAGTGATGGTCAAATAGATGTGGCTATTATTAGTAGAATTCAAGTTGGATAGCTGAAGTGAAGGAATGCATCGGGCCTGTTGTGTAATAGAAAAGTACCCCTCAAACTTAAGGGAAAATTTGATAAGATGGTGAGACTTGCAATGCTTGATGTTGTAGAATGTTGGCCATTAAAAGAGAGGCATACAATTAAGTGTTGCAGAGATGAGGATGCTCAAGTGGATGAGTGGCTTTACTTTTAAAGACAAAATGCAAAACGAGTATATATGTGAAAAGGTTGAAGTAGCTCCAATGGCAGATAAGATTTGAGAGAGTCACCTTAGCCTTAGATGGTTTGGTAGCATAAAACATTGGCCTTCTGATGACCTTGTTAGGAGAGTAGGTTTATTAGATTTGACCTATGCTAAGAAAGCTAGAGGTAGATTTAAAAAGACTTTGCTAGAAAATATTAGAAATGATTTTTTTTATCAGATTTAAATGAGAATTCTACTCTTAACAAGACAATGGAGAAAAATGATTCATGTAGCCGACCCCATGTAGTGGGATAAAGATTTGATGATGTTGTTGTTGTATATTTTTTCATTTAATTATCTTAATTTAAAAATTATTTCTCAATAGATTTTTTTGACAAACACCAAATTAGTTATCTAAAACTTGCATAATTTTTTAAGCTTATGTTGCACTCTATCTCTCATAGCTTGTTGTGGGACTTGTAAGTTTGATTTCTCTCTATTTAGCACAATCTTGAACCTATTTGTTCTTACATATTGTACCAAAAAGAAGGTTCTCCAATCATTTGACATTTTGACAGCTTCTTAGTCTTCAAAATTTTATTGAAATGATTTGTTAATTAAATCACTGTAATATCTTTCATAACTATGTAAATCTTAATAGATGTCTCGTTTAGACCTAAAGCCTTACCTTTATGTATTATCTTTAGAGCTACTTCACCTTGGGATTAGTCCATAGTATATTTTATCTCTCTCTACCAATTAATGTCCTTGTTAAAACTCTTTTTCAGTAATTTCTCAAAATTACTTTTTTATTTTTCCTTGATGCCTTTATTTTAATCAATATCATATTATCTTCACTTTTGATACTTAATAATTTTGAAGCCCTGAATCTCTGATACCAGGAGGAATAATTTTTTTGTCAATAAAGTTTGTATACTAATTACTGTTAGCACTATGCTTTTATAGTGTTGGGAGAATACAAATTATGGAATATACCATAGTCTCTTATGGCATGATTGCTCAAATTTTGCATGCAATTTCTAAAATAAATAAATTCTTAATTATATATGACACATGAGAAACATGTGCTCAATAGAATGAGCTTTCTAATTGCGTTATAACAAGAGCATGTGCATATGCTCTATGAAGTTTCTATTATGCATAATATGCCTAATAAACTCGGTCACAAATAGTTAGCATGATGAAAACAAGTATAATATTATTGATGTTTTTCTCAAAATGAATCAAGCTGCCTAAATTTCTTTTGCAATTATCATTAACATTTATTTTCCGAAAGCTCAAACAAGAAATTTTCCTCCAAACATTTTTTTTTTGAAAATGTTGAGCGGTGAAGCACAAATTTAATGGAGGCAGTATTCCATCCTAGAATATTTACAATTTTCAAAATCTTTATCTACTAAGCTACATGGTACCCACAAACATGTTATTTTTAATTACTTTCCAAAACATAAAACAAGAAATGAACTATAAATCACGAATTTAGGCCTTTCTCTCACACAAATGTTGCATATATTCACCTTGATATTGAGTCTGGATCCATTTCCTAAGTTTCCCTAATTTTTCTTGGCTAAATTTTACGAGTTCTTTTTTACAGGGCATGGCATCCATGCTTTATCAAGCTATTCAGTTTGTTTATTTGATCATTTTACGCTTAATTGCCTAGTAGCATGTCAATACTGAAATTTTTCTCTTGTTCTGCAGGGTCCGGCTCAAGCGCAAAATTTGAGAGATTCACTTGCCATTGCACAGTCAGATATAATTGTCAAGGTGATATGAACGAATATAATTCTTTCTTTTTTTGTCCATATGCAAATGCGATTATGCCTATCCTGGAAAATTTTTATTGAGGGCATGGTTACTTTGGTATGCTCAAAGCTCTTTACTCATTTTTAGTAGTGTCATTGATAAAGAAATTTGCATTATGGCCAGTTATCATAGCTTGCTGGTTTAGGATCCTTATGTTGGGCTTACGAAACTGGTGATTTTTGCTCCCCATATTGTAGTTATTCTCACAGTAGATCAACTTTAAATTTAACACATTTTTTATATGATGCAAAAAGGGGTGTGCATTGTAAAACCCGAAAACTATCGATCGGATGCGTTGCACGCATTTCGATGTGCCGCGACGAAGTTATACAAAATTTCGAAGAAATCGGAATTCGATGCAAATAAATTTATTAAATTCTACGAGTCCGACATCCGTTCTAGCTCGTCTATGCGATCTCACTGGGCCGGGTCGTGACATGCATTTTATATAAAGCCAACAACCAATCAATCCTAGAGAGTTTGGAAAATAATACGTTTGTTTAGTTGCAAATTTCAGTTGGGGCGGGGCCTGGGGTGGTTAACAATTTCTTTGTATGGATGCAAACGGTAGGGTAAAATGATTATACAATTTGGTTGTAGGGACGGAAATAGTAGGTAATTGCTCTGATAAGGCATGTCAAAACCTGCAGTAAATTAACTATTTTGCTATGTTAACTCAATGTCATATCTTGATGGATTGTACAAGTTGCTTTTATGGATGACAATGGTAGGGTAAGTGCTCTGATAAGACATGCCACAACCTGCTGTATATTAACTATTCTCCTTCTTGAAACCAATATGAGATCGTGATGGATTGATTATACAATTTGTTTGTAGGGCAATGGGAGGTAACTATTCTGATAAGGCATGCCAAAACCTTTAATAAATTAACTTTTGTGCTAGTTGAACTCTTATCTAAACTTGATAGAAAAAATGATTATTTATACCTATTTTGTGATGAGCATTCGATACTACCCTACAGAATAAAAAATGATCACACAATTTGTTTGTAGAGACGGCAATAGCAGGTAATTTCTCTGATTAGGTATGTTGAAACTTGCAGTAAATTAACTATTTTGGAACTTGAACTCAATGTGATATCTTGATAGATTATACAAGTTGTTTGTAGGGACAAAAATTATTCTGTGCGGAGGCCGGATGCAAAATACTATTCGGAGACTAATCAGCATGCGTAGCGTCAGTGGTACAGAGCAGTACTGAGCGCAAGATGACGTGGCGCATTCTGGTTAATCTTTGAACTGCGTCGGCACAAAATAATTAATTGTAGGGATGGCAATGGTAGGGTGACTAATTTGATAAGCTGCTACTTGAACTATATCCAAACTCAGTAAAAAAAAAAAAAAGATTATTAATTCCTATGTTTTGACAAGTACCCGATTCTTGTTTTTTTTCCCTGAAAATTAAGTACCCTATTCTTGTTGGATGCACACTACCTGACGTAATAAAAACATGTAAAAGACTAAAAAATAGTCATTCACGCAGTTATATATTAAATAAGTACATATGGAAACAGTAATTTTGACACAAATCAAATGAAAACCCAACAACAAAATCTTCTTATATGGCAATTAAATTTAAATCTTAGCAGCATCATTGCTCAATATTATATTGGATTTGGGTACCCACGTGCCTGAAATGCTAATACCTAATCTTTTTGAATAATCCTAATTTGTTGTGCTTCAAAAAGTAAATTTAATTCATTATCCAATTGGATCAAATAATTGGGTTTGGGTATGCCATCAGGGTTATGCAGATCGGGTACCCTATCCATAGGATAGTTGTCATTTCTATTTGTTTTGGGATTCATTATTTTTAATTTCTATAGAAGTTCTTTTTTTTTTCTGTTTTCTTTTTGCTGCCATGTACTTTTCCTGAACAACTTTCTGATATTGGTGTCTGTGAACATTTTTTTTTCACCAGCCTTGATTCCTACTTTGAGCAATTCAATTTCCTTTTGAGTTTAAACATACCATATCTACCTAGTCAACCATCTTTTAGCTTTATTGTGTGAATAATTTTCTTTTCAGATTGGTTTGAGGAAAGGTTCTCGCTCTTTTGAAGAAGCCCGAGCTGCTGGATTTAATGAAGAAAATGGAACTTTGGGTGATATCTGGGAAACAATTTCAAGCAGTGACCTTGTCTTGCTATTGATTTCAGATGCTGCACAGGTCAGAACAACGGTCCTGCGAACTTATAATCCTTGTTATTTATAAATTACTGATTAATAGCAAGACCATTGAAATTGAGTAACCTATGGTAGAAATAATTATCCTACAAATCCATTTCACAACATCAAACTGTATATCTCGGAAACTGTGGGCGAAGCAAGAGCATAATTTAGGCTTCGTTTGGGACGGCTTTCTTATTGATTCTTAAAAAAGAATTTAGTACAAAAAGTTTAATTTTTATACTAGAAAGCTGCTTTAAGAAGCAGTAAGAAAGTCGTCCCAAACGAAGCCTTAATATTGGTCAATTCTTTGTCAGCTCTATGCTTTTTTAGAAGTAGGTTGTGATCCTTTCTTTAGAACTGTAACTTAATGTTTATTTTTTCAGTTCTTCTGATCTATGGATGGTCTATTTTTGTTGACCAACTTCTTTGCAGGCAGACAATCATGAAAAGATTTTCTCTCACATGAAACCAAACAGCATTCTGGGGTTATCACATGGTTTTCTTCTCGGGCATTTACAGTCATCAGGCCTCGATTTCCCTAAGAACATTAGTGTGATTGCTGTATGTCCCAAAGGAATGGGTCCTTCGGTGAGGAGGCTTTACGTTCAAGGAAAGGAGATAAATGGCGCAGGCATCAACTCAAGTTTTGCAGTTCACCAGGTTTTATTGCAATAAACCTATTTTTCTGAAAAAAAAAATTATCTTTTTAATCTCACTTTGTTTTATTTGTTCATTCATGTGATAATTTTTGAATTCTTGAATGTAAAGCCTAGCGGGCGATCAAGTCATTAATAAGAGTACACGTTTTAGATATCTTGGATATATTGTTCAAAGTGATGGTGATATAGATGAGGATATTATCAACATAATTCAAGTTGGATGGTTGAAGTGGAGGAATGCATCGGGCTTGTTGTGCAATAGAAGAGTCCCCCTCAAACTTAATGGAAAATTCTATAAGATGGTTGTGAGACCTGCAATGCTTTATGGTGCCAAATGTTGGCCATTAAAAGAGAAGCATAATACTAAGTGTTGCAGAGATGAGGATGCTTAGGTGGATGAGTGCTTTCCCCTTAGATATGTGATACGAAATGAGCATATATGTGAAAAGGTTGGAGTAGCTCCAGTGGAAGATAAGATTAGAGAGAGTTGCCTTAGATGGTTTGCTCATATTAAACGGAGGCCTTCCAATGACCCGGTTAAGAAAGTTGAGGTATTAGATTTGACTTATGTTAAAAAAGGTAGATGTAGACCTAAAAAAAATGGTTAGAAAATATTAGAAATGATCTTTCTTTATTAAATTTAAATGAGAATTTAACTTTTAACTGCACACAATGGCGAAAAAGGATTCATGTAGCCGACCCCACGTAGTGGGACAAAGGCTTGATGATGATGTTGTTGTTGTTAAACTCTTCCTTTATACAGTTTATATTAGATACCAGCTTTCAATTGCTTATACTAATCAGCTCGCTTTGATCTCTGTCAAAAGGATGTTGATGGAAGGGCCACAGATGTTGCTCTAGGGTGGTCTGTTGCTTTGGGATCACCATTTACATTTGCAACTACCTTGGAGCAGGAATATAAGAGTGACATTTTTGGGGAACGGGGTATCCTACTTGGAGCTGTACATGGAATTGTGGAGGCGCTGTTCAGACGCTATACTGAAAAAGGTATGAATGAGGAATTGGCTTACAAGAATACCGTTGAGTGCATAACTGGAATTATATCTAAGACCATCTCAACTAAGGTAACTCTATGCCTTAAATTTTTGACCGTTATGTCGGAGGATTTCTCTCAATTCTCATTCATGCAATGAAAATGTTAGGGGATGCTCTCTGTATATAATTCATTAAGTGAAGAAGGGAAAAAGGAGTTCAATGCAGCGTATAGTGCATCATATTATCCTTGTATGGACATATTGTACGAGTGCTACGAAGACGTTGCATCTGGAAGTGAGATTCGTAGTGTTGTTTTGGCTGGTCGACGCTTTTATGTAAGCTTATAGATGTTATTGTAGATGCTACTTATGCCTTCTTTGGATCTACCAATGGAAGTTGAATGAGTTCTGTCGTGTTTTTTTCACAGGAAAAAGAGGGCCTTCCTGCTTTCCCAATGGGAAATATTGATCAAACTCGAATGTGGAAAGTTGGAGAGAGAGTGCGGGCCACCCGGCCCGAGGGTGACCTCGGCCCACTGTACCCCTTCACAGCTGGTGTCTATGTGGCTTTAATGATGGCTCAGGTATCATATACAGCATCTTTCCCTGATCCTTCAGGCCTTCTCCTCCAATAGAACGCAATATTTTTAGCGAATTGATTGCGGGTGAATAATGCAACGCCAATATTCATACTGTTCATTTGCTATATAATTTTTTTTTAATTCAAAAAAATTGATTATTAGTTTTAAATATTTAAGTTTTGAATTTTATTATTAATAATTTAGAAAATTATAATAGGTTTAAAATTGATAAATATAAATATATGATTAAAAATATATAAAATAAAGTATAAAAAGAATATAGTAGGAATATTTTTTTATGTTAGAAAATTAAGTTCGATTGGAGACAAGTTAATGCATTTTGGAGTAAAAAATGAGTTTTTTCGGTTGAAGAATCAGTCACTACTATCTGAATACTGTACTGAACCATTTTCACAAATCTTGCGTGATCTTTTTGGCAGATTGAGGTCCTGAGGAAGAAGGGACATTCTTATTCAGAGATCATCAATGAAAGCGTTATTGAATCAGTGGATTCTCTGAATCCTTTCATGCATGCTCGCGGTGTGGCATTCATGGTTGACAATTGTTCAACAACTGCTCGTCTGGGATCAAGAAAATGGGCACCTCGCTTCGACTATATCCTTACCCAGCAGGCTTTGGTTGCCGTCGATAAGGGCGCTGAAATTAACCAGGATCTCCTAAGCAACTTTCTGTCAGACCCAGTTCATGGGGCAATAGAGGTTTGTGCTCATCTGAGGCCTACTGTGGACATATCTGTGCCTCCTAATGCTGACTTTGTCCGCCCCGAGCTGCGTCAGGCCAGCAATTGAGGTTTCGTTTGGGACCGTTTTTTTCTGCTTCTTAAAACAACTTTTTAGTATAAAAATTTTAAATTTTGGATTAGAAAGCTGCTTTAAGAAGTAAAAAGAAAGCCGTCCCAAAGTCATAGTTGCCTTGCTTTTGTGAAAGCTGGACTCTAGGAATAAACTGTTGCTTTGAGATTTGTGTTTTCTTAGAAGAGTATGATCTCCTGGTCTATTATATATATAAGCAATGATATGGTAATGAATGGGAACCCTTCTATTGATGTTGAAGCCTACGAATTAAATGCCTTGGGATGTGAACTATTAGTCTTTTAGGGTAATGTTAACTATGTTAGGCATAAAGTAGTATCTTACAAATTTTGAGTTTATATGTTTTTTTTTTTTTGATGTGGATGTTTGCATGCCCAACATAAAATGAGAAGATATTTGAAGATATTTCATTTGATTTTGTAAAGATTTAGGTTTTGTTTGAGATGATTTTCTTACTGTTTACTAAAGTAGTTTTTTATTATAAAATTTTTTTGAGGGAATTCTCTACTTAATTTTTGTATTTAAAAGCTGCTTTAAGAAGCAATAAGAAAGTTGTCTCAAACAAAATTTTAGTAAAATTGGACCGACGGATTAGTGTGAGCATTTATGGGAGAAGGTTTCACAAACAATTCATCTGTTTTATATGTACTTTTCACATTAATGCTTATAAATTTGAGGGGGTTTTTTTTTTTTGAAAGTATGCCTCCAAATTTTATATAAGAATCAATGCTCCTACGAGTAACTCTTTTACAGATAATTTTTTGAAGGAGTATAATTAAGAGTTTAAAAATTATATCAAATGTTGACCTAAAAAATAAGAAGTTAAGGTTCAAATGTTTAATTAGAGTAAATAAGAAGTTAAGGTTCAAATGTTTAATTAGAGTTGAATTGGATGATGAAATAAATATTAAAATTATTTTAATTTAACTTAAATGACACATGAACAAATGATCCAAATTTATCTGTAGATGATATTTGATTTTACAATCATGCTATTAGTGAGTTAGAGTTACAATTATGCTATTAGTGAGTTAGAGCTAGAAAATTAAAGAAAATTAATGAGTGCGAAGAGTTGATGGAAAGTCGCAAAGTCTATTTTAAGTACCCTTAATAACTTGATGATCTAAAATATTTCTCTCGCCTTTTTTTTTTAAGAACTATAGCTTGATTGAGGACATTTGCAATAGGTGTATGACCTTGATCTCGATTTGTTACTGAGGGTGAGTAGGTTCTGTTGAGACGATTGATCCTTAGGGTGTGGACTAGTTTAGGTTAGTCATTTGGAGGACCTTATCGAGGATTATTGCACCCGTGGTATGATCTCCTAATGTAGGTTTGCATGTTGTGATCTTTTGAGGGAGAGTTTACCCATGGGTTGGTACCAGCTACTGCTTTATGAAGTCATGCTTCATTCGGGCGAGTGTTGTGTTGACCACATGATCCCCTTCGCTAAACTCTTGATAAGAACCTATTAGAGATGTGCGAATTATCCATATGAGCATATATGAGTTTACACAATATTGTATTAGTTTTGATATGAGATTATTACACATTCTTATTTGTTTCTCTACAATCTACTAATGTGGAAAACAAATTTTCTCGAGATGTCTTAAACTAAAACTTAAAATAATGTATGAATCAGCCACCTATATATCGTTATATTCATGTCTATTTTCATCATACCAATCCATAGCATAATAGAAAAAAAAAAAATTATATCAGTATAACTTGACTAATCGTTGGCTAGTACTTATCTAAAAATTATTGAATTTATTCTAAAATAAGTATAATATATATTAAAAAAATTAAAAAATTATTATATTATCTCAAAATTTAATTGAATAGACTCGAAATTCATTTTGATTAAAAAAAAATTATACTATTCTTATATAATTATTATTTTTCAACATGATAGCAAGGATCTGCTCACCATTTGACCTCCATAACTGTCTTCTTAGGCCTGTCATCTTATCCACATTTTCTGCAGTAGCAAGCAAAGACTTGGCCATTTGCTGCCAAACTGTGCCAGGGAACCCAAATCTTACAAGGAATTCTTATTAAATTTTCTATGATGAATAATACTTCATCACTTCTAATAATCAATGAAGAATTTTAGGATAGCCATGAGTTTGTAATAACCGTTATTGTGTATTTTGTGATAGCCTTCAATAATGACTTAGCCTATAATATAAAATTTTATGATAGCCACCAATAAAGACTTTATGGTAAGAACAATGTCACTTTTTTCAATAATTAAAATACAATTGGGGTTTTCTTTCGCTAAAATTCTTTTTATTTGTTTTGATTTAACATTCAAATTTATGATGGTATCGATTGTGAAATTTACGAAAGATTGTGCATTCTAGTAGTCCATTTGATCGAATTATGCTCATTTCAGTTGTTGAAAATGCCTTGCGGTCTTACTTAGGCTTCGTTTGAGACAGTTTTTCAAAGCAACTATTTAGTATAACAATAACTTGAACTAGAAATTTTTGTACTAAAAATCTGTTTTATAAAGTAGTGATAAAGCTCTCTCAAATGAAAACTTAATCTTATGCAGATTGATTTTGAAATCACTATAAAAATCTATATATAAAAAATTTTGCATAAGAATGCTCAAGTAAGAATTTGCTTTGGGTAAATTAAAAAAATTTAATATTTAGTTTAAGATAAATTTAATATAAATTCATATTTTATAATTATCTTAAAATTAGAATAAGAATTTAAAATTTCATTATGAATAAATTATATTACTCAATATTCATTCAAATCCAAACTATTGATAATTTTCTAAGTTTTTAAGCCACTCTAGTTGTAAACCCCCCCCCCCCCCCCAAAAAAAAAAATAAAAATAAAATCCCATAAAAACTGTTGAGAAAAGTACTTTTTCCTGTTGTTTTTTGGATTAATTAGCCTTAGCAACCGGGCAAATTATTGCGTCCGGTGTCCGGATTCATCCGGACACCAACCCGGTGTCACCATGTCACCCAAATACATCAGGACCCAGTGTATTTAGGTGACGTGACGTCACCGGATTAGATGTCCTGACATCCAGTCACCGGACGCAATAATTCGCCTAGCAACTGACCTCACAAGTATTACAACCTTAATTACATTGGTAAAGTGGCCCACGTTGGGCCATTTAAGATCTACTCAAGACCGGATGCCTTTCAAGCCACGCAAAAGTTGCACTAACTACCTACTACATTAAGCTAGCAATACATTAGCCTAAGCAATAACATGTTTATCCTTTGGAGATTATTAAATGAGTACTACACATAGATTTATGAGCATGAAGAATAACTATTTTTTTTTTTTAATGCATTTTGAATTCTTCATTTAACTCTTTTTGTGTTTATTTATGACTAGTTCAAAGCAGGCGAATTTCGAATACTTCCTGTTATAAGAACACTGATTCTCTTTGTCACAACAACAAGCTTAATGATAATGACGCACTCTACAACTTTGACAATGTTAACGACCTTCGTGATGTCTCCACTCTACAACTTTGATTGTTCTAAATCCGATCACTAAAGCTTTTTTTAGGAGATCACTACCAAACTTTTAGTTCCCAATTGTGTGTATAAGTTGCCCTTGGTCCAATCGTATTAAGTAGCTAGCTCGGGGATATGATCATCCAGTCATCTTCCAAATCAAGGGAGAATCATCCAATGCCTACATGAATTTGAAAGATTTTAATAAAAATGATAAAAATGTAATTTCAAAACTATATAAATAGGCGAAAAATTTATCAATTTTGAATATCTAAAATAAAGATAGAATCCTCGAATCACGGAGAATTTGAGAGCTCCTAACATTGTTTGGAGGCTAATTGGTTGTCCCCAATGTTCTCGTGTCTTTATTATGCCATATTTTTTGGTTGATTAAACCTCTTTTTTAGTTGAAGCATTCAATCAATTATTCTCATTTACTTGCAAACTCCAGGACACATTTATCATTCTTCGTGCGATATTCCCCATTCTTTTAATAGAGGAGCTATACTGATTGCCTCTAATTGCCATCTGACTCTAAGTTGTTCGATCTCTTTCTTTCTTTCAAGGCAAGTGACCATTCGGGCTATCGTAAAGTGTCTTACACATCAATGTCTTTACACTCCATTTACTATTACCATATGAGATACTTATCACAATTTAGATCTTTTATATTATATTGATATATTCACTAATTTTGAGGGATGATAACTTTCATAATTTATGACTAGAGCTAATAAAAAAAATTAATTAGATTATGGTCTTCCATTATTTTCATTTTAAAATTTTTATGTTAAAAAAATTATTTCATATGCATTGCATTCGTTATTTTTTTATCTTATGCGAAGTCATTATTCAAAACTGTTAACAAATTTTATCTCTCTATTTTTGTGATAGTATACCATGAAATAAATTATATTTTAATAAATACATTTTTTGATCGAATTAAAATTTAATTAAAAATAAATTCCAAGGCTTTAAAAATCGGATTGAACAATAAACCGGAAGAAAGAGAGGTTAGCGGTTCAATAGTTCGGTCGGGTTGAACCGGTTAAAGTAATAAATACTTATTATATTTTTTTTTCCTAAGGAAGTGTATCTTTTATAGGCTTCAATCCTAAAACTCTTTTTATAGATCTCTTGTACTTTTTATAAGATCTTCCTAAGAAATCCTAAGAGCAGTGTTAGAGGAATCTTCTCGGAATAGGTTATGTTAAGTTCATCCTAATGGGTCCAGTCAAATATTTTCCTTGATCCTCAAGTAATGCTAATATAGTATGACAAGTAGGATGCAACATTAGGGAAAGAGAAATATAAGTTATGTAGGAATCAAAGTCCAAAGAGAAGATGTTTGAACTAAGCACGTGAGGATGAGTACCAAATGCGAATAGAAGAGGTGAAGAACTCACATTGGGTCGGAAAGGAGGAGTTGATGAGCACGAGAGGGAAGCCTTCAGTTCGGTGTTGGTTTCACAAACGAGCAGGAGACGGCGACGGGAAGAAGATACGCCGAACATGAACATGACAGAACATACATGATATCGATATGTCCAAATGAATTGTAGGGTTTTTTTTTTGTTCTATCTGTTTTGTATGAACTTCACCTTAGTTGATCTAAGCCGTCCTATCTTCACTAAACGGCTCAAAATGGGTTGTAGCTGAATCGACCAATCATCAGAAATCGGGACCAGTTTTACGGTTTGACGAACGAACAACCGTTTCGAACGGTTCAAACCCGATTATCCGCGAAACCGGTTTTGAAGCTTGCGACTAAACTGGTTGTACCGGCCGATCCGATTTTTAAAGCATCAATAAATTCAA